ATCTATTCAGGCATTCCTGAAGGCTCTATGGATAGTGATCATAAATTACTGTAATCATCTCTGTACATTTCAGTCCAGGATGTTGAAAATAAAGCAATATACTATTTTTGTAAAGAATCTTAATTCAACTCTGCCAAAGAACTAGACCTCCATACTTGTAAAAGTGCTTTTAATGGAATAGTGGGCAGCAAAGACTCAATGTTAATGATTTAACATGGGGCCATTATAGTATAAAAACAGTATAATTAGTCTGAAGCCTGTTTGGTAGTGCTACATTCACAATGCTGAACTCCGTGTTTTTTTGTGTCAATAGGAGTTAAGTGCCAGAAGAGATCAGAGCTGTATAGTTATGGTTGACTGTTTACATGATATGTCCATTTTCAGTAATGACAGTGAATATTAAACATCTTTCTTCCTTTTAAGTGGTCATAAATCAAAACAGCACATTTTAAATATAAACTGTTTTACAAGAGTAGAATAGGAATTTCCTCACTAACTTCATCCAATTCAATTTCTAATTTTTATTTTTTTTACAGTTCCATTTGTCTTTCTTATTTTTTCAGTGTCAAATACAGTTTTTCCTTTTTGCCTCATCTATTTAAACCACTTCCAACCTTTCTAAGCTCAGTTGAAATTCCATGCTTTTCATGTAAACCTCTTCGGAAATAATGTTTTTTTTTATTTTCTGAAATCTTACTATACACAGAATTTAATAGTTTTTGTCCTATGCAAGTTGGTTTTATCTCCAAGTTGTAAGTGCAGAATCTATATCCTGCTCCTTTGACATTTTCAAACCTAGCACCCATTCATTCAAATCAAGTAGGTACTGATCACCTTTTCTGTTTAAGGAACCATGTTAGCTGAGGAAGAAGATACAGAGATGACCAAAAACTCATCCCTGATCTCAAAGAATTTACTATCTCATAGAAGAGATAATAAGACTTGTACATGTCACTCCAATACTAGACATTGTATCATATGAAATGATGAAAAGAAAAAGACAAAAAGACACTGGAGTGTTGGTACATGGGTAGAGAATATTTTTTCCCATTGATTTTTGAAATAGTTTGTGATAAAGTTTTCCTAATCTGGTTTCTTTATCTTTTAAATTAAATTACATTTTTTCATCATGATAAGTGTACTCTTTAATCCCCATTCACCTATTTCACCCATCCCCCCCTCTTCCCTCTGGTAACCATGAGCTTGTTCTCTATAGTTAAGAGTCTGTTTCTTGGTTTCTCTTTCTCTCTCTCTCTTTTTCCCTTTGCTCATTTGTTTTGTTTCTTAAATTCCATGTATGAGTGAAATCATATTGTATTTGTGTTTCTCTGACTGACTTGTTTAGCTTAGCATTATACTCTCTGCTCTATTCATGTTGTTGCAAATGTCAAAATCCTAATCTGGTTTCTTATCCCAGAAATTTTCTCTTATGTCTGACACTAACACTAATAATTCTTAAAATTATATTTAACATTTTTTTCTGGGAAAGAATTTATTGAAAAATACATTTATTTTCTGATTCATGCATTTTCCCCCCATATTGCAATGTCCCTGAAATCAGACTTTGTTTTTTAAATGGGGTCTTACAATGCCTTTTGGGGAAATGGCAATCATGACATACTAGGTTAAACAATATGAAATTACTGTTGAAATTACTGTATGAATAATTTTTTACCTACAAAACCAGCAATTTTATTTGACATAATTGCAGCCCATTTATAAATTTTTCCACTTCTGCTCATTTTATCATCATCTCAGTTGTGTTAGGTGAATTATTCTTACTACACGTGTTGACTTTGCTGCTCCTCAAAATGTCCTAAAAATATCATACTGGAGATGACATTGAAACGAAAAGTAATTGTGCACGCACAAAGGCACAAAAATAAAGCAGTGGGGCCTATATTTGACATTGGAGCAAACATTTATTATGGAATAAGTGACCTTTGGTATCTGTTTTCTTGCAAAGCAGTAATAAAATGTGTAGAGAACTCGACAGGGGGATAGTCACAAGTAGATAAAGCTGTGTTATGCTGTTCCTTAGACGTATAAACAAACATTACTTCTCATTTCCTAGGCAATACAACCAGAGGTAAGAGTAGTTGACAAATCACCTGGACTGATAAATAAATGCCAAAGTGCTGAAAAGCATTTTGTTATAGATTAAATGGCAATTTTTGTTTCTTTTTAGTGGTATAAAAAAAATAATAGTGTGTCTTATGCTGATGTTGTTTTAGATTCAGTGCAATGAAATAATTTAAATATTTGCTCTTTCTTGAGAAACTTTTAAAAAGTTGTTCACATAAATTATGCTATAAAGAAACACAGACTCTTTAAATGATATAAACTTTGGGTTCTTTTTCCTCCAGTCATGGCTAAAATGTGATTTCATTTACTTCTCCTTTGTGTTTTATTAGACATAACTTCTAATTATTTTTAAAGTTTCTTTGTATTTGTAAAAAATTCAAATAAACCGTCAAATACTAATCATTTCTATTTTTATGATATAATCTCTGCCCTCAATGAGTCTACAGTCCACAGAGAGATAATATGAGTTAAATAATAGTTCAAGATGGCATTTGAGATGATAGAAATAAATATGATGGCAAGATAACTGGCACAAACAAGAAGTACTGAAGAATTCAGAAAAGTAAGAGATCTTGAGGGCAGGAGAAGAGTATCAGGAAGGACTTCATGTCTTGAAAGATGGGTGAAAAAATTTTTATTCAGATCTTTTGTCCATTTGTAAATAGAAGTACTTGCCTTTGAGTTCTTTAATATTTTGGTTATTAATTCTTCTGGATATTATGTGGTTTGCAAATATTTTCTCCCATTTCTTAGGCTGCTTTTTCATTTTGTTGATTGTTTTCTTTGCTCTGAAGAAGCTTTTTAGTTTGATGTACTCCCAATTGTTTGTTTTTTTCTTTTGTTGACTCTATTTTGTGTGTCATATTCAAGAAATCATTGCCAAGATCAATGTCAAAGAGTTTTTCCCCTGTATTTTCTTCCAGGAGTTTTATAATGTTAAGTCTTACATTAAGTTTTTAATCCATTTGAGTTGATTTTTGTGTATAGTATAAGGATCCAATTTTATTCTTTTGCATGTAGATATTGAGTTTTCCCAATACCATTTGTTGGAAAGACTATTCTTTTCCTATTGTATATTCTTGGGACTCTTGTCAAAGATCAGTTGACTGTATATGCGTAGGTTTATTTCTGGGCCTTTTATTCTGTTCCACTGATCTATGTACCTGTTTTTATGCCCTTACCATATGTTTTGATTACTATAACTTTGTAAATAGTTTGAAATCAGGGAATGTGATGCCTCCAGGTTTGTTCTTTTTTCCCAAGACTGCTTGGCTATCCAGGGTCTTTTGTGGTTCCATACAAATGACCAATAGGTACATGAAATTGGTGCTCAGCATCACTAGTCCTCAGGGAAATGCAAATCAAAACCCCAATGTGATATCACCTCATACCTGTTAGGATGTCTAGTATTAAAAAGACAAGAGATAACAAATGTCAAAAGGGAGAAAAGGGAACCCTCACTATTGATGGAAATATAAATTTGTATAGCTATTATGGAAAATAGCATAGTGGTTTCTCAAAATACTAAAAATAAAACTACCATATGATCTAGTGATCTGACTCCTGGATGTATCTGAGGGAAATGAAATCAATATCTTAAAGGGATAATTTCACTCCCATGTTTATTGCAGCATTATTCACAATACCCAAGATATGGAAATAACCTAAATGTCCTTCAATGGATACATATCCAGAGAGATGTTGTCCAAATGGCACAAACATTCAGTTATTAGAAGGATAACTTCTGTGGATCTAATATACAACATGGTGACATTAGTTAATAATATGGTATTGTATACTTGAAAGTTGCTGAGAGTAGATCTTAAACATTCTCATCACACACACACACAAAAGTTAGCTATGTGAGATCTGGTGGTGTTAATTATCTTGATCTCGGGAATCATTGCACAATGTATATGTATGTAAATCATAATGTTCTATACTTTAAATATATACAATTATATTTGTAAATCATTTTAATAAAGTTGAAAAAGAAAAAAAGAAAGATGGGTGGAAATTAGATAGGAAGAGAGGAAGAAAAAGGAGTCCAGGTATGGATGAAAGGAATATTAGAAAGACCATGTGAGAAAACCACGAAGACAAAACCAAAGAGAGGGCGCCTGGGTGGCTCAGATGGTTAAGCGTCTGCCTTCGGCTCAGGTCATGATCTCAGGGTCCTGGGATCGAGTCCCGCATCGGGCTCCCTGCTCCTTGGGAGCCTGCTTCTCCCTCTGCCTCTCTCTCTCTGTCTCTCATGAATAAATAAATAAAATCTTTAAAAAATAAATAAATAAATAAATAAATAAATAAATAAATAAATAAATAAATAAAACCAAAGAGATTTTCAGAGTATGAGGAGAATCTGAGAAGAGGATTAATCATAAATGAGGTGGGGGGAAGATTTGGGACCAGAATGAGGGGTCCGGATATAGATTCTTAATTTTATTATGTTGGTGGTGAAGAGTAGTTAATGATTATCTTGATTAGGAGTTGCAGTAATTAAGCTGTGGAAACTTTTAATTTATCAAATATAATCTTTTATTAAAAACATTTTTTCACAAAACATTAATTTTCAGACTTTAAATTATTAACTTATGCAAGATGTTGTAGTCCATATTTTAGGAAATGTCCATTTAAATCTTCTAGGAATAATGGTATGAGTTCCAGAACAGAAAAGATAGATGTTCAATGAATAATAACATGTTTTTGAAATATTCTGTGCAAAAAGAAAATATCCCTAAAACAGAGCTCTTTTTTTTTCTAGATAGTAAAGCAAGGTTGTGTATTTCATGGTTTTAGAGGCAGTATTAATTTTCTTTGCTAAGTAACAAATTATCACAAACAGTGGCTCAAAACAACACCCATTTATTAGCTCAGAATTCTGTAGGTCAGAAATTTGAGCACACGAGCCTGGGTTTTATGCTGAGAGTATCACAAGAGTGAAATCAAGGTGTTGGCCAGGCAGGGCTCTCATTTAGAGGCTCTGGGAAAGAATACACTTCCAAGTTTACTCTTAATGTTGGCAGAATTTTATTATTTGCTATGAGACTACAGTTCCTGTTTCCTCAATGGCTGTTAGCCAGGAGCCACTCTTCAGCTTCTAGGTGCTGTTCTTCATCCTTGCACATGGTCCCTCCATCTTCAAGTGATGAATCAAATCTTTCTCTTGCTTTGAATTTCTCTGACTTTCTCTTCTGCCTTTCTTATATGCCACCATCCAAGGAAAACCCTCTGCTTTTAAAGGACTTGTGTGATTAGATTTAGACACCTGGATTATCTCCCTATTTTAAGGTTAACTTTTCCATGTAACATATCATAAGCACAGCAGGAATCACAGATATGTCATCATACTCACAGGTTCTGCTCATACTCAAAGGAAGGAGGTTACAAAAGAATAATGATCATTGGAGATTATTCTTAGAATTCTGCGTACCACAAATATATATTTGATTATTGTTAAAACCTACTTTTAACATTACGAAAGGTGGAAATAGTGTAAATAATAATTGTTACAGAAATAAATAATGAGTAGGTACTAGTGGAAAGAAAACCAAAACATGTAGTCCAGAAACAATGGTTATCTCTAAGCAAGAATAAAGTAAGTTAAAAATTAAAAATACATAAACGTTATTCTTTGGTAGCAAAATTGAACAAAATTAATACAGGTCTTATGAGCAATTCCTACTTTATGTATAACACATGCCTTTATGCTGACACATTCAGTTAAGGACCTTTAAGAAAGCAATTGCCCCCATCCCAAGAACCATATAAAGGGACTCTTCACTGACCTCTCTGGCAACCATTCAAAATCACATTTTGAATTGATAAGATGCCCTAATAACAAATTCAGAAGTTTTGTGTCTAGGTTGGCAAGAGCGTGATGATATAGAGTGGGAGGTGAAGAAAATTTCATTTTCTCCCAACATTCTAGATGAAAAACAATCTTGTGAGTGTCTAAAATTTATCAGAACTCCATTAGTTCTTTTTTAAATTTTTTTTTATTTTTAAAAGATTTTATTTATTTATTTATTTGACAGAGAGAGAGATGAGAGAGGGAACACAAGCAGGGGGAGTGGAAGAGGGAGAAGCAGGCTTCCCACTGAGCAGGGAGCCTGATGCGGGGCTCAATCCCAGGACCCTGGGATCATGACCTGAGCTGAAGGCAGATGCTTAATGACTGAGCCACCCAGGCACCCCAGAACTCCATTAGTTCTATTTCTTCTGCGAAATGTAACAAAACAAAGCCAACTACCCACAAAATTACACATGATTAATGAAGACACTCTATCACATTCACATCAAATTAATCATATAATATGATTACTTATACACCTTTCATGATCACCTTTAGATCCTTAAATCCTCTGAGTTCATTACTCCTTCTCAATGCAATCATTGTTTTTATTCAAATACAACCATGACTCCTGGCTAGTAATCTTGACTATGAATTGATAGGCATTCTTTTCTAGTCTAACACCAGCATGCTCTGCGTCTGACTTTTTACTTCTAGGACACTGGTACATTCTCAGGTGATCTTCAGTGCACTTGAAATAACTGGTCATGGGTCTGCTGAGGTTTACTCAGTGAGATTATCGTTGATTTATTCAATGACCATAATTCTTTAATTAGCTTGTGAGTTGGATTTTATAAGTTCCCATCAATGACATAATTATCCCCAAAAGAAGAAATAATTTTCCCAATTAAAAAAATCTATAAATGATTATTAAAAACAGAAAAGAAGAAAAAAGATAGTTACTTAAAATGTAAATTTCAAAATTTTTTCAAAATGACTCTTTACATGATCCTGTTTAAGATAACTTTTAAATTAGATATGAAACCTAGCATGCATGCCGTTGTTCTCAAAATGAACAAGGAGATGTATCAGAATGGGCAAAGGGTATGGTTTATTCTACCTGGACAGGAGACAGCACACTTGGAAAGTTTAAAGAAGAGCTGAGTCTTTTAAGATGAATTGCTGTTGGGGAGGGGACCAGGGAGAACACGAAAAAAGGCAGAGGCATGACAGAGCAAAGTACTAGTGGAGAACATAAAGCAAGGGGGTGCAGGAAGAGAAAAGAAATAAAAAAAGGATAAGATTTTGGTGGATCTTGTCTGCAGTGCTTCAAAGTGTGTCATGATGGTGATCCAGACTCTCCAGGCTTGCTTCTGAGTTGCTGGGAAGTAAGGTGCTCATTCAAGTCTCTGGGTTATCATGGGTGAATAGAATAGAAAAGATCTTCATCCTGACACAATCCACACCTGGTGCTTTCAACCAAGTAAGATGATCCTGACAAATATCCACTTTTGGAAAGAAAAGATATTTCATAAATATTACATGACCATCTTTATCTTAAAATAAGAACAGCCCTGTTAACACTTTATGCTTAAATTCTTATTTTACATTATGTTACTGTACATTTCTTTCCACTTAACCTTTACAGAATGATGCATTTTTATTTCCTCCATTTGCAGGAGTATTTACTTTTACAAAATCCTTGCCTGTGAGCATTGCTTTATTCCTGTTTGTGTTGTTAAAGTTCAGCCAGATGGAACTCTTCCAAGCCCTTATTTCTGTCAGACATTTCAACAGCTGGGATTGTGTAGTTTCTGAGCTTGAAGGAAAGGATCTGTAGAGCTCATGTCAGCAAGGGCCATGAGCTCTCATGATCTCTCTCAGTAGCTTTATATTCACACAGTTTCACTTGGAAAAAAACTAACATTTGTAATTTGTGCCAAGATGGAAGAGAGAATGAGAAAGAATTGCATCTAATATCTGACTTTTAACATTCTAGGACATTTGTAACTGCTTTATTAAACCATTTTAGAAAATTGTAATTATGTCATTATTCTATGTTGTGAAGTCATTTGATGTGAAGAATGGATATAAGCAGTTCTAGAATGAATTTTTTTTTTTTTGGAAGAGTTGCAATTCACCGCATTCAATTTAGATTGCTAAGTGGAAGATAATTAAGAAAAACTGGTATTGATGTAGCACGTGAGATTTATCTCAAAGATTAAGTAGGTTTCAAAAATCATTCTTTATGCTACTAAAAATGGAGTTTATTATTTAAATTTTGAGAGTAGTCATAAATTGGATTTAAAACAATTTCTTCCCCATTCTCATTTGTAATGGCCTAATATTTACAAAAACAAAATTTAAAGCTTTTTGTCAAAAATGATTTTCAACTTGTTGTGTGTGCCTTTGTGGAACATGTTGAAAGTCTAAGCAAATGCTATGTTCAGATTAGAGACTACTCAGTTCTGATGCAGATAAAGGTATGCTAAAATAGCAATGACCTTTAAAAATATGAAAATACCATATAATAAAAAGATTTTATAGTAGAGTTTTAACAACAAAACAGGATTTTCATAGTAATGTAATTCCGAAGAAGATAAGTGGGAAGGTTTAAAGATGGAGAACCTTTGAATAATACAATGAATGACATCTGAGTTACATATGGTGGCATTTTATTTGAACAGTTCATTAGTTGCAACTGGAAACTCATTAAAGAGCTATATAATGTTAAACTTTAAAATAGTAACATGCAAATGGCTCCAAGTATGATGTCTAGCATTCCTTCAATAGTTATTTTATCAAAGCTAATACTTAGAAAATTATTGCAATCTTGACAAAAATATTAGAATAGGAAAAGACTCCTGGAAATCATTTAGTCCAATTTCAGTTATTTTTATTAATTGAGGCATAGTTTATATATAATAAAACTCAGATTGTAAGTATTTAGTTCAGTGGAACTTATAATCATAACTTATAATCATAACTCCAAATAAAATACTGAATATTTTCATCTCTTCAAAAAGTTTTCTCAGTCAATTTTGAACCCCCCCACCCCACCATCACCCAGAGGCAAACTCTGTTCTAATTTCCATTACCTTACCTTGGTTTTCCCTGTTTTAGAACTTCATATAAGTGGAATCACTTGCTATGCACTCTTGTATCTGGCTATTTTAGCTCAACATAATACTTTTGAGGTTCATCCATGTTGTTTTGTTTATCAGTACTTGATTACTTTAAAAAAATTATTTCTAAGTTTTATTTCATTGTATAAAAATACCACAATTTGTTCATCAACTTCTCTGTTGTGGACGTGTGGGTTATTTCCATTTGGGGACACTATGAATAAAGGTACTATGAACATTCTTGTACAGATCTTTTTGTGGACACATGTTTTCATTTCTCTTAGATAAATACCAAGGAGTGGAATGGCTGGGTCATAAAGAGGTTGTATACTTAACTTTATGAAAACTGTCAAGTTAATTTCCAAAGTAGTAATAAAATTTTACTTTCATCAGCAATGTAGAAGAATTCTACTTGCTTCACTTTCTCATCAACGTTTGATAAGAAAATTTTATCCTGTTCTAGTAGGTTCAAAGTGGTAACTCATTAGATTTAATTTGTATTTCCCTGATGACTATAGTTATGTTGAATATCTTTTTATGTGCTTATTGGCTATTTGTGTATCTTTCTTTGTGAAACATTTCATAAAATATTTGTCCATTTTTATTGGGTTGTTTTCTGCTTATTATGGATTTGTAGAGCTCTTTATATATTCTGTAAGTAAGTCTTCTGTAGATATACGTCTGATGAGTATTTTTCTCTAGCTTGTGACTTGCCTTTATGATTTTCTAATGGAATTTTTAATGGTCTCTTTTGAAGAACAGAAGTTTAATTTTGATGAGATTAACTTTATCAATTTTTTCTCCAATGGTTAGTGCTTCTGGTGTCCCAAGAAATTTTTGCCTACATTTTGCATTTTCTTCTGTAAGCTTTATAATCTTATCATTTATGTGTATAGGTCTTTGATTCACCCTGAAATTAACTTTTCTGTGTGATGTGAGGTAGAAGATATAGTTTACCTTTTCTATATGGATATCCAGGTAGTTTTGCTGATATTCATTACAGAACCTATCATATCAATCTTTAAGAGTTGTTTATTTTAATTTGATACATGAATAAATGCACATACAAATTTTTAAACATTACATAGGAAAAAATAATAGTAAGTATATGCTACAAGGAGTTACTCATTAATCTTTTATGTGGATTTGTCTACCTAAATAAATTTTCAATTTTTGAACACATTTATACTCTGGTTAATATTTCTCCTCCACCATTTCCCAAATGCTTAGTAAATATTTATTGATTGAATGGATGATTAAGGTGGAGGATCATTAATATTTATTAGTTTCTGTCCTTTTACATATCTATTTAGTACCTTTAAGCAGTAGCACATGATTTGGTAACTCAATGCAGTCATTAAGTGAAAGTCTGTTTTCTTTTCCTGTGCCACTAGTATTTTCTCTTGCTTTTTTGTCATTTTTCTCCCCCAAATATTCCCTACATTTATAAACTCTATTTATAAACTTGTCTTTCTCTTAATTCCTTCTTCACTGCCTTCAAACAAGCTCAAGTGTGAAAAAAAAACTACCCAGTTTTCAATTTTGCTATTCCCCAGGTACCACTCTTTACCTTTCTTCATTCCTTTACTTCTGTGTTTCTCAGATGGAATGCTATCATATATTGCAAGGGTCTGTGGTTTTCACTTTAAGGAAAATCTATGAAATAGCCTTCTTATTCTGGTTCATCCAAGGGACCATCTTAAAACCAAGTTCTACCACAGTTTTAGAACTGCCCATGGAATTTGTGTTTATAATTCCACCATGACCAAAAATGATAACCTAATGATAAGTTTGTTTGAGTTCTTATACAAGGAGTGTGGCTTTACTAGTAGATTATAGAAGAAGTAATTTACACTGTTGCTCTCTTCTTCCCTCCTTCCTTTACTGACTCCTTGTCATTTGGCTTTTCCTTCCATCACCTTGTTAACATTGGAAATTGCTCTCTTGATAGTATTCATATCATATTAGGCCACCCTCAGTCCCCCAAAAAGGCAGGTTGGGTGGTAATTGCTCCCATTCCATTACTGCTAAAATGCAGTGTTTGATACTGAACACTCAAATTCGGCATGTATGATCCAAGTAAATCAGCTGGGTTCCCATGATGCTTTTTTTCCTTCTAGTCTTCTTTACTGGCTACCACAAGTGAGACCTGGTGTCCTGTGAGGTCATGAAGTTGCCCAACCTCAACAATTCCTTCTTGTCATTACATCGTGTCCTACTCCACAGGATTTGGGCCTTTTCTAAGTCTTCTTTCATTCTAATGAGTTGACTGCTGGCCTGTACACTATCCCCACTCTGAATCCCTGTCCTTAGGAAATCTCTGCTTCTGAGCTGCCATGTCCAGTCTCTCTACTGTCCAGGAAATGGAGTCTTGGCTTTTTCTTTAGGTTGGTGTTTAAGCATTTTCTTCCTATGGGAATGCTCCCCAGGTGATAACCATTGGTCTGGTCTACCTTGCTCCTGAGTATTCAGCACATTCTTGAATTTCTCTGTGCTCTGACCTACTACGCAGATTGGTTCTCCAGTATGAAGAGCTTCTGAATTTGGATCTGAGGCTGTGGCATTGCACCCTCTTAGACATTGCACCTTCTCACTTTCCAGAGCCAGACCCTGGTGTGGAGGGTGTGCCTCCCACCTCTGTCCTGCCTGGCCCTGGATTCCTCAGTAATTCAGAAAGTCGTATCTCCTTTATGCTTAAGGAATTGCTATGATACTGGCTTATAACAATGTTACTTGTTTAGTCCTTTGTCATCACTATTTCAAACACTTATTGGTGTCTGCTGAGATACAGTGGGCAGAATTTGTTCATATTTTTATTTGCAGCTGTGGATATCTTGTCTCTGTGCAGTCCTCTCCCTTTGTTCATCTCCTTTAGTCCGGTTAATGACAAGCTTTTGTCAGAATAAGTTTTCATTTCAGGAGACCTGATGGCCATATTTAAAAATAACATTTCAAATAAAATATTGCTTGGAGAAATTTCTTCTGGCTTTCTTCTCTTAACAAAACAAAATTTGGCAGGTTCTTGACCTTAAATAGGAACTGATGCCTGTAGGTATTAAAAGAATAATTTAATATGGAAGAAATCTATATTTAATAAATGTTTATAATGCACATTTTATAACCACTTTTTCCATAATCTTTTTTGGGAACTGTTGCTCTAATGTTTTTCAATGATTTTGGAGTCAGGTGACATTAAGTTGTGATTCCACCCAGCTGCTACTTTGGATAGGCAAACACTTTCTGCCTAGCCTGTACCCCTGGGAGGTTTTCCTCCTGTATTTATTAGACATGTAAATTCAACTTGTTTGAGTCATTCCCGCTCTCCTCTCCATCTCATGGGAAGCCTTAAAAGGCCTCTCTTTGCAGTTTTTCTCTTTCTTCTT